ATGTTGTTGATGATGGTGATGATGCTGCTGATGATGATGACGATGACGGGGATGATGATGGTGATGATGTTGGTAACAACTTTTGATAGTGACGATGGCTATGATGCTGATGATGACGATTACGATGATGTGGATGCTACTGGTTATGATGGCAACTGATGATGATGATGATGATGATGATGATGATGATGATGATGATACTGATGGTTTCGATGATGATGATGGCGACGACGATTATGATGTTGCTGATAATCACTATGATGCTGCTGCTGATGATGATGGTGCGGATGATGATGGTGATACTGTTCACGATGATGATGCTGCTGATGATGCTGATGATGCTGATGATGATGATGATGATGATGATGATGATGCGGGTGTTACTGATGCTGAGGACAACTGATCATGATGATGATGACGATGACTTCGATGATGATGGTGACGACGAGTATGATGCTGCTGATAATCACTATGATGATGCCGATGATGGTGATGCTGAAGCGGATGATGATGATGATGTTGATGCTGATGCTGATGCTGCTGATGATGATGATGATGCTGATGATGATGCTGCTGATGATTATGATGACGATGCTGATGATGATGATGGTGATGGTGATGATGACGATGATGATGCTGCTGCTGATGATGAGGACGATGTTGCTGATGATTATGATGACGATGCTGATGATGGAGATACTGATGATGATGCTTATATGATGATGCTGATTATGATGTTGTAATGGTGGGAATGAAGAGAAAGAGGAGGAGGAGGAGGAGGTGGAGGAGGAGGGTGATGAGGAGGAGGGCATATGGGTTCAATAGCAGAGATGCTCGGAGCAGGTTGAGGAGGAGGAGGTGGAGGAGGAGGAGAAGCAAGAGGAGGACATGGTAATGGTAATGGCACAGGCGCGAAGCGTCGTTACATAGATTAATGTCACCCCTCAGGCGTGGGAGAAGTCGGACTGTTGGTTCCGGGTGGAAGATGTAGATGGTATCGAACTCTTACATGAAAAGTCAGTCGTAGGATCTTTTTTCTTGGAAAGAATGTTTGAACATTGTCCACCCGCTCAACGTATGTCGACCTGATATGATTTCCGTGAGGGAGCTGCACAAGCATGGGCCTGATTTCGAAATCATCATGAATCATCTTGCCACCCCGATGTACAACGATCAGACGGTGTAATCAAGTTGCCGGGTGCCCCTGGAGCCTCTCGCGGAAGCATGTGGCTCGACCCAGATCCGTCGAGAGCCAGAACATATGGTTGCGCGGGATAGGATCCTTAATGTGCTTGAGAGGAGGAGTCGGATGAGGAGCAGGAGCCGGAGGAGGAGCAGGAGAGGGAGGAGGAGGTGGAGGAGGAGGAGGAGGATGGAAGATGGTGGAGGAGAGTGAGGAGGAGGAGGAGGAGGAGGACGAGGAGGAGGAGGTGGAGGAAGAGGAGGAGATGAGGAGGAGGTGTAGGAGGTGTAGGAGGAGGAGGAGGAGGAGGAGGAGGAGGAGAAAGAGGCGGAGGAATTCATCACCATGTGGTCGATGCCAGTAGACAGGGTTTCGCACCCAGAAGCCGCCGCAGGCTGCCCCTTTCGAGAACCCTGACGCCACCCCGCCACGAGAGTGCCAGTCTTGGACACCCTCTCCCTTCCCTTTCTCGGAGGAGGGGGGAGAGAACGAGGAGCAGGAGGATCGAATCTTGAGGAGGATGAGGAGCAGGACGAGGGTAGACCCAGGATGCAACAGGGATGCTGCGATATCCGCCCCGTCTCAAGTCTCCTCGTAGGTCCCGGCAATCATTCCTTCTCATTGCGGGAAGCATCCCCTGTGCTTCCCATTCGTTCGACAATCCCGTGTTGGATGGCATTGACCTGCATCTTGCTAAATAATTTGAATGCTGGAAGTGTCGTCATAACGCTCGAGGAGGTGCCTATCGACAGCCCCATTTCGAAATAAAGCCGCCATCCATCCGTGTAGCAGGTGCATCCTTCACGCTGAAGTTTATAATTCTGTGCGGGCGGGGGTCGAGCGATTACCCAGTCTTGAACATGAGCCACCTTGCATCTTGGTAGCTGCTCCGCAGTGCTATATGGTAAGAACCTACAGAAAGGTCAGAGCGAGAACTTAATCTTGAAAAGGAGCCGCTCGCCATCTTTGTACCTGCTCATGCTTGACCCCCGTACCCCCATCCTTGAGTCAGTTCGGAGCTTTTCAGGCGAAGATGCGCGGCGCCAAGGCGAGAGCCACATTTTGAAAACTTCTCGACCCCCTCCGTCAATGCAGCTGTCGGAAAGGTTCCAGCCTCAGGATCACAAGCGGTGAAGAAGTCTCGGGCGAAACGCTCGGCCCGCCCCATGGACACGTCTGGTGGTCGACGATGTGGAGAGATTTCGTAAGGACGAGGGATGGGTGGGCAGCGGGGACGAGAAGGAGGGGGGGGAGGAGGAGGAGGAGGAGGAGGAGGAGGAGGAGGAGGAGGAGGAGGAGGAGGAGGAGGAGGAGGAGGAGGAGGAGGAGGAGGAGGAGGAGGAGGAGGAGGAGGAGGAGGAGGAGGAGGAGGAGGAGGAGGAGGAGTCGAGTCTGCCAGGTCGAGCGGGCCAGCGCCGCCCCGCCCACGACCGCCCTCCCTCTCACATCAGCATCGGAGCCAGTGCTGGCGCAGCCGAGTTTCCACGAGGCCGCCACGCGCTCTCATCGACAGTCTGATCGGCCCGTTTTCCACCACCACCACCATAAGTTGGAGGGGGAGGGGGTCCTCCTCCTCCTCCTCCTCCTCCTCGTCCTCCTCCTCCTCGTCCTCCTCCTCCTTCCCCCTCCAACTTATGGTGGTGGTGGTGGAAACCACGCCCATCAACAGTCGGCGCGCTGAAGGAGGAACCCTTTTCGTTGGGGGAGGGGCTCGGTGTTCCTGGACTGTTTCGCAGTCAGTCTCAGGTTTTCCTGAGGTTTCCCTTGGGACGTCGAAGCTCAACTTCTGGGAAAAAGAGGCCTCGTTCCTTATCTTGTGTTCCTTAGGTCGATGCCCCGACTGTAGCTAAGGGAAAGTGCTCGCGCGCGGTCTCTTCTCCGACGACTTGGCGAGGATGAAAGAGCACGGCCCGCGAACGGGCGGGAGCGGAACTTCAGAAAATCCTTGCGCGGCCCTTCGTCGAGAACACCTTTCTCCCGCGCCGCCAACTTCGGATCAGAGCGGCGAAGGCAAAGCATGCGCCGCGCCGATGCCGCGCTGCCATTTGAATGCGGCATCACATGTCGCCTGCTCGCACGCAGCCCCGCTGCCGCGTTCGGGTGACTCGGCGAGCGACAGACTGCGCAGGCCCACGCGGGAACATTTTTTCCAGGCGACATCTACATGGAGCTCAGGCCAGGGCGATAATTCGCCTGCTCGCGCGCGGCCCCGTTTCAACGACTGAGCGAGTGAAACATTCGCGCCGCGCCAAAGCAGGAACGCTGACACGACGAAGTCTGCGCGGCGCATGGATCTACGTTTCACCCGCTCGCGTGCGACCTCGTAGTCTGCGAATTTGTAAGGGAAAGTTGTGCGCCAAGCATGAGACAGAGCTCAGCTCTTAAAATAAAGGAGCGCGGCGCCGAGGCGAGAGCGACATTTCGCCCTGCTGTGCGCGATGTGCGCCGCGCCCGGTTCCGGCCACGCATTTTTCAATGTCGATGACAAAACGTCAATGTTTAGATGAAACGCTGCAAGCTCCAGGAAAAGTCGAAGGGGAGCATCGGGGATTGTGGTTTTTGTGTGTTGTCTCCAAGCCTGTGCTACTCGGTCCTCGCTTTGACTCCGCAGCGCCGCGCGCCTCACCTCACTCCTCCCTTTCTCCTCCTTGCACCGCCCTCCTCTCTCCTCCTCGCCCCCCCCCCCCCTTTCTCCTCCTCGTCCCCGTTTGGGCACCTCCCTCACACGCGTCGTGCCCCCACAGGGGGCTCCACCTGCGGCACTGCGAGGGGGCCCGCGCGCGTCCCCCAGCCCATTCTGGCACACCCCTCTCACAGATCGTGGTCCCACGGGAAGCTCCACCTACGGCCCGAGCGAGTGCGCCCGCACGCGCCCCCCCCGCTTCTTTCTGATTTGAATGCCTTACAGTATTCTACAGCGCCTCTGTGCAGGTATAGATGAGCTCGCGGGGCGATGCGCACCAGCGGATCCATGAGCCGCACTTTCCCGCGAATGCCCGCTGTTTTGATTCATTTTCCGACATGTGCAGCGCACGGTCTGCTTTCCAGGGGACCGCTCCAGTTACCGGAGCTGGCACGCAGGCTTCCATTCCAGTCTATTCACACGGATCATGGCCGCAGAAGTAGCTCCAACTACGGTGCAGCCCCAGTGAGGGCGCTCGCATGGGCCCCACCGCCCATTTCGGCACACCTCTCGCGCGGATCGTGGCCCCATAGGGAGCTCCAGCTACGGCCCCTTTGAGGGCGTTCACAGGCGTCCCCCCGCCTATTTTGGCACAGCCCTCTCGCGGATAGTGACCCCATAGGGAGCTGCCACCACTGCCCCGGATCCGCCCACGCCTTCCTGTCCTCGGCAGCCCCTGAGCAGCCCCAGCCATCTTGGGCGAAGCGCCCAGCGTTGAAGGTTTCGGCGGGAGTGACGGCCTTCCTCGGCGTGCGCCTGCTTCGAGATGTATAGCCGGCACGAAGGCCAGAAATAATCCTGGCCTTGGGCGGCGTGCCCCTCGTGCTGCTCGTGTCTGAGCCCTCCCCCCTTCGGAACCTTCTTCGCTTTGGGGCACCTCTTCTTTGGGGCACCTCTTCCCGGGGCTGGGGGGCTTCCCGCGCAGGGGGCTCGTGTCCCTGACCTGCGCTCTCGGGGCCACGTCGCGGCTGCAGCTGCCCCCCCCCCCCAAGAGTGGCAGCAGCGCAGGAGCGCAGCGTCCTCATCTCCTCCTGCCTTTCCCTCTCGCCCTCCCCGCCCTCCTCGTCGGACCCCAGGGCAGGGGCGTGCACCCTGCTGGGCCGCAGGCGTGCCCCACCTCACCTCCCGAGAGAGGACTCCTCGGGCATCGCGGCGCTGGACCGGGCGGCGTCGGCCGTGCGCGAGGGGACGTGCAACCCCGCTGTGGCGAGCTCGGCGAACTTCCTGCACCCCAGCCAGGCTGGCTTCAGAGGGGGAAGAGGCAACCGTACCGCTACCTTTCCGTAGCTTTCGGCTTTGGGGGCCTCCTGGGAGGCCCTCGTCACCACGGCTGGATTCGCCTCGAAATTCTAGTCAGAACGCACCCCAGGAGAGGTCCATGGAATAGCGGTATCGGTACTTATCTACCGACCAGTCAAAAAGGTAACGCTTTTTTTTGACCTGAGGTTCTGCTTCTGCCCAGCCATGGGGGGATCCCCATCGCTGGGCTGAAGCGGGACCTCAGGTCCAGGCGTTGCCGACGAGTTGTAGCAGCCAGGTTTTCGTCGTTCCCAGCCTCCTGGTGGGGCAGTTTTGGGCCCCAGGGCCGTCAAGAAACGGCCTGGGATGGAAAGCCGGCCTCAGGGGGGGGGTCGAGAGGTTTGGGGACTCACGTCTTGAAAAGATCGCGCCGCTGGATCTCTGGGGAGGTCGGGGTTCGAGGATCGAAGAGTTCGGTTTTTTTCTGGCCTGCGGAGACCTCCAGCGGCCTCTATGGGAGACCTCAGGACCTCCCAGGGGACTCTGTCCTTCGCAGGGGCCAGAGACGTGTGAACAGGTGCGTGCTGTCGGAGGTCCCGCGTGGGTGGCGTGCGGTCGGGGCTCTCGTCGGCACGGCTGGGTTCGCCTCGGAACCCTGGTCAGCATGCGCCCCAAGAGAAGCCACCAGAGTAGAGAATTAGCGGTACTTCTGTCGACATCGTCTTGCCCCCCGGGGACAAGGACAGGCTTGTGGTCTGTTTGAGTTTTTTGGTAGTGCTCTGGGGGCTGGGTGGGGCCTCGCAGGTGCAGGATCGGAGGCCCACGTGACCTACACCAGGGTACTGAGTGACAAGAGGCACTGAGGCCTCGAAGTGTTCCCAAAGCGACGATACTTCAACGCCGGCGCTCAATTTCACATCGTCGTACGTTCTATGGCTGCGTCTCATGGAAGCGGCGGCAAACCTGATGTTCCTCTGCCCTCGTTTCCAGCAGGCCCGAACGTGGCGCTCCAAACTCAGGCACGCATCTGAAGTGATCTCAGACAGTACGTTGGTGGTGTACATGGCAGAGCCTCAGATCTCCTGTGTATCAAGATTACGGACTCTGCAATTTGCTAATGGGGGCTTCACCAAATACAATTTCCGCGTGCATATTTAGCATCACATGTGCTTACACACATTTTGTGTATATATATATATATCGTCGTAGACATAAGACTGACTGTCTACAGCAGTTTGTGTTTAGATATACATATACACATTTACACACATGTATATATACACACGTAGCACCCCGCAGATGCGGATAAGAGTGAGGGGGCGTCGGGGACGTCGGCAGTCTTTGTGGCTCTGAAGAAGCCCGCCGCAGGCGCATACTTTTGACAAATTACAGATGGAGCCCGCCGCAGGCGCCGATTTTTGTTTTACAGCAATGTGGGTGGGTCGCGGGTTGGGTCGCAGGTGGGTCGCGGGCCATGTCGCGGGTGGGTCGTTGGTGGGTCGCGGGTGGGTCGCGGGTCGGTCCCGGGCGGGTCGCGGGGTGGGTCGCGGGTGTGTCCCAGGTTGATCGCGGGGCTAGGAGTTGGGGAGGAGGAGGAGGAGGAGGAGGAGGAGGAGGCGGAGGAGGAGGATGAACACGACGACGACGACGACGAGACGGCGACGACGACGACAAGGAGGAGGATGAGGAGGGAAAGGGAAAGGAAGGCGAGAAGGGCGAGGACGCGGGCGAGGTCGAGGAGGAGGAGGAGGAGGAGGAGGAGGAGGAGGAGGAGAAGGACAACGAGCACGAGGACAGAGCCTCCAAACACGCGTTCTGGAGCCCCCTTGGGGGCTCTCGGGGCCATCTTGCGACCCTCTTGGGGCTCTCTTGGGGCCTTCTTGAGGGCCCTGGAGGGCCTCTTGTGGCCATCTTGGAGGCCAACGATCAAAGGATGGGGGGTCCTCGACCCCCGGGGACCATCCTAATCGCCTCCCGGGGCGCCCCCGGGCCGATCTTGGGCGCTCTTGGCGCCGTTTTGGGGGGCCTCTTGGGCCCCCTATTGGGCCTCTCCCGCGCAGTCTTGGGGCCACCTCGAGCAGCCCATCGGAAGCGAACGGCGAGAAGGCACTGCTTATTGATGTGTCCGTAGGTTGTTGAAGGATTTCGGCTTCTGGGTTGTCCTGAGGGGGGCTCCGAGAGCACTTGGAACCGTCTTGTGGCCCTCGTCGGGCCTCTTGGAGGTATGTCGGAAGCTATATTGAACCATCGTGGGCTATTTTGGGCCATATTGGGCCATCTTGGGCGTCCAACACCTCGCGACCCGCCCCAAAAACCTCAGGGAGGGGAGGGGGAGGGTACCCCTCCGCAAATGGGAAGAGGGTTTCTGGAAGAGGAAAGACCAGTTTTTGCCCAAAAGGCGTGTGGGCTTGTGAGAGTGGGCTGAACTCAAATCTGAAGTCCTACAACATCCACATCAATGAGGAATCGCTGGTCATGACGATCATGCCAACATTCGATGGGCCAGCATACCGCCGTGTCATATAACTTTGCCCTTGCCGCGACACAAGGCTGTGCTCCCAGCTGAATGCGTCATCGAAAGCGAGAATGTAAACTGGTCTGGCAACACTGCTCGGTACGGCAGCTTTGCCAAGCAGGCAGAGGCGCCGGCAAGTCCTCAAGAGGTAATCGTGTTTGTCCCGTAGACACACCGACAAGCCATACGCTGGAGCGCGTGGGCGAAGGAAACACACTGCCAACTATTCTCACCGCTTCGCGGAGAAGGCGGCACGCCTGCTCTCTAATCTACATATTGCGGGCCAGGGGGAAGGGGAGGAGGAGGAGGAGGGGAAGAGGGAGGGGAGGAGGAGGAGGGGGAGACACAACATCAATCACAAATCTGTGCCACGCTGCTGGCTCGCAGACACATTGCATTAATGCAGATGTATGTCCAGTAGATGTATGATATTCGTGCTGAGAGTCGTGCTGGTGGCGAGGATGCGCTCTGTGAATTTCTCAGCTCTGGTTAATTATGGAATCAGTCCTCTTGGGGACCTACGTCCTAACTCGAATCTCCCTGCTCCTGCTCCTCCCTTCGTCCTCCCCGCGCGCCTTTGGCACGTCTGCCCTGTATGTGCAGGCGTTTGGCGTGTCGTCCGTCCGCTCAGGCATTTGGCTTGCTTGCACGCTTGTGCAAATGCAGCCTGCTGGACGCACGGCTCAACTCACCGACTGGGTCCCGGCGCCGGGCCCCAGAGGCCGAATTCCGGGAAGAGCCGCAGGACGGGGCACACCAAAACCAGTTGGAGATCTGGGTGGGTGCCTCTTTGGCCGAGCCGGGAGGGCCCACGCACCGACCCCGGGCCCAGGGTGTGCCCGGCCAGCCGGCGCGGGCGTGCGTCGGGCGCCTCCCCGCCCGGCCGAGATGCTGCAGTTGTCCCTCGCCAGCGTCTTCGGCGGCTCGCTCTTCGCCGCCAGCGGACGCACGCGCGTCTTCGACGCCAGCTGCGACGGCTTCACCCCCGCGGAGGCGGGCCTTGGCTCGCGCGGAGCCCCCCCGCCCGGCGCCCTCTTCTCCATCGACGCTGGCCGGGGGCGGTGGTTCGCCAGCTGCCTGTGGCAAGTGCCGCCACCGTGCCAGCTCAGCTTTCTCGGTGGTCTGTGCGCCAGGGAGCACGGATGCCCTGGCGTGTGACATTTAGTATT